TAGTAGCCTCGAGCTAGAGTCCTAGATTATCAGAGAAGCGCGACCGGTGTTACGAGTCCTGATTGGACACGCAAATGGCCAATCATAAGATTGATTTATCGCTATTATAAATGGCTGCCGAATAAATCAAACTTATGATTGGCCATTCGACGCCATTTTTAATATTTTCTAGTACTTTTGCGATACTGCCATAAGCCGGTCGCGCTTCTCTGATAATCTAGGACTCTACCTCGAGCTAAGTACGAATGTGTTGGGTTGTATCAATGATTACGGCAATTGGAACACAATTTGTGTCGCTGTGTGCACAAAAGTGTCTAGTGATTTTATAATTGAAAAGCACTCTATGACGAATGTGTTGGGTTATGTCGATGATTACGGCAATTGGAACACAATTTGTGTCGCTGTGTGCACAAAAGTATCTAGTGATTTTACAATTGGAAAGTACCCTATATACTCAAAGGGCTTCACACCGGTGTGAAACTTCTCATGTCTCCCGCGATGCGGCATGCAGATAGCAAGAGATCGACCAACTGATTTCTCGTCTACGATCCCCGTGAACCATCGCTTCTCCTCTGTCCGAGCCTCTTTGATTTCGCTGACCTCGAGTGCCAGACTCCTCGTTAAAACATCCTACTTCGGTCATATCGCGCCCGGGCAGGAGAGGTTGGTCTACGATTTCTACGTGCTTCGAAGTGAGTAACGTAACTAGCGGGACACATCGCCGATCGCGAGTCGATTTATTTACGCACGCCCCGCCGAATTTCCTCGACTTATATTTAATGGCCTCGGCCATCATCATCGTGGTCACGCACCGCGCGCGATCTTAACCTCCGAATTAGCCATTCTAGCGTTACGCACATACATACGCGATGATCCGTTTTGCCTTCTCGCGTGTCACTGATACCCCGATACAATAAACGCTAGACGTAGACCAGTGTTGTCCAGGATTTCTTGTTTTGGCCTTGAAACTGAAATAGTCCAAGTGTTCATGCTTATTATCGTCCCTGTTTTTTTTTTACTTCACAATTGTTTTTTCGTAGCGTGCGACTCGATTTCAAGGATGAGACTATTCTCGGATCGTTAAAAATTGTTGGTATACATCATTCACTGTTTAAAAAAATATTAATACTATTATTATTATTATTAAAAAATGGAAGGTATTATCAATCTTTAATGTAAATTGTAAAAAAAAAATGTAATTGTATAAAAATATAAATAATAATAATTTTAAATTTTTAATAATAATTTTAAATAAAAAATAATAATTTTGTATATTACGTTTTAAGTATAAATATGCAATTGATACCTATATGTACTTATTATATTTATATAACAAAATTTTATGCAAAATATTATTGCACTTTGTTATTATTGTATAACAAAACAGAAAATAAAATTAATAGCGCTAGTTTGCCAATATTAAGGTAAGGTTTTATTGCAAATGTGTTTTTCTTTTTAATGATATATAACAGAAACTTTTAACAATCTCAAATTGATCTCATCTCATGAACAATTTCAATTGATCTGAAACCAAGCATCACGCGCTACAAGAAAATAGCAACAACAATAAACATGCACACTGACACATTTCAATTTTAAGCCCAAAACTATACTTTGAATTATATCTAGCACTGACGGAGATAATTCCTTTTGTTGCCATTTATAAGATTATGCTGATTCCGAGATTAAGCGTTATAGCATAATGCAATTGTTGGATACATGTTTTCTTGATATTTCATGTTTTTATTAATTTACACTAATAGATTTGATTAAACTACACGATTGAACTACACAGACAGAAATCTCAAACGTTTGCACAAATTTTAAAATTTTTTGTAATTTTTCTCTAATTTATTATCTTTGGAAAAGTTTAACTTAGGAAGGATTATAATTTTATTAAACTGCTAACTTTATTTATGCATTCTCTTTCAGAAGAGTATTGTATGAGTCAAAAAATAGAAAAACCGATACTATCAGGTCAACGCATAAAGACCAGAAAAAGAGGTAAATGACAAACATTATTGTGTAAAATCATAGAAGCAAAAATTCAAAGTATATTGACAAAAGCTGTTGTTTGCAGATGAAAGAGAAAAATATGACCCAACCGGATTTCGAGATGCGGTTTTACTTGGTTTGGAAAAAGCTGGCAACGACTTAGAAGCAATTTCTAAATTTCTGGACGCGGCTGGTTCTAAGTTAGACTATCGTCGATATGGAGAGGCATTGTTTGACATCATGATAGCTGGAGGCCTTTTAGTTCCTGGCGGTTCCATTGCTCAAGATGGTGACAAACCGGTTAAAACCAGTGCATGTGTTTTTGAGCAGCCAGAGGACATGGAGTCCATGCGAAATTTTGAACAGGTAAAAAAATACAAAGTGGAGTTTTATTATTAAGTTTTTATCACTGTCAAGACATTTAATTGGAATTAAGTATCTTTAAATTAAATATCACTAAATTAAATTACGTTTGAATAAACAGGTCTTTATCAAGCTCATGCGACGTTACAAATATCTGGAGAAGATGTTTGAGGAAGAGATGAAGAAGGTATTGGTTTTCATGAAAGGATTTTCACCCAAGGAAAGAATCAAGCTGGCTAGAATGACAGCACTGTGGATCTCAAACGGTTCTGTACCACCCACGGTCCTCTCGGTCTTGATCAACGAGCATCTCGTCAAGGACAATTTGGCATTAGACTTTCTATTGGAAGTCTTTGTTACTTGGAAACAGGAGAAGGGTTTATCTAGTTTAATGACAGCTCTGAAGAGAGGAGGTATTGAAGGAAGGTAAAGCTTAAATATTATTTATTAATTGTACAATTTTATTATGTAATTTAGAAAACTCCATTCTCAAAGTCCTTAATATCATCCTGTTCATGCAAGTCCTTTTATGTATATTTTAGGTTGATGGAATTTGTACCACCAAATAAACGAACGGAAGAACATTTTCGGTCTGTATTCGAAGCGGTAGGCCTGGCAGATATCGTGAAATTACACAAGGCTCAGGCCAGTCAGGAGGCCAAGCGGGATCTACAGCAACTTCTTTTGGATGACTTAGCGGAAAATAGACCAATGAAGGACATAACATTAGATCTCAAAGAAATGGCACAAAGGTGTGTCATTCCCGAACATGAAGTGATTGGATTGGTAATGGCCTTTCTCTCTTATATGCCCGATTAAGACAGACTGGAAATATTTTGAAAAATATATTCGCCACCGTTTACAGATCTGGGTTGTCGTAATGGGCCAAGCTGAATGGAACAAAAAAGAAGAGTTAGTCGCTGAACAAGCACTGAAACATCTAAAGGTTTATACTCCACTGTTCGGTGCTTTTACAACCACTGCCAGATCTGAGCTCGCACTCATCCTCAAGGTCCAGGAATTCTGTTATGAAAACATGAATTTTATGAAAGTCTTCCAGAAGATTGTTTTACTCTTTTATAAGAGTACGTATACAAAAATTAGGCACTTATATGATACACATGTAGATTTTATACGCATATAATTTAAATGGATATTAAATAATTTTGTTATAAGTAAAATGAAACGTTTGACCTTCCAGCGGAAGTTGTGTCGGAAGATGTAATATTGAAGTGGTTCAAAGAGGGTCATTCAGTGAAGGGGAAAATGCTCTTTCTAGACCAAATGAAAAAATTCGTGGAATGGCTACAGAACGCTGAAGAGGAATCCGAATCAGGAGAAGAGGAGGATTAGATATTCATGTAATTTTTAAAAAATTATATACAAATTACAGGAGAGATTTATTTATTTTTTTTTTAATATATACTTTTTTAAACACATACGTATACACGCGAGCGCGAGCGTGGCTTAAAAAAGTTTGGTCTACAATTACAAGCATAGTTGTAAAAACTGACCAATTACAGTCGAATATTCTTATATTCGATTGTGATTGGTATATTCTTACAGCTACAACTGTTTGCAACTATGCTTACGCAATTGTAGACCGGGTTTAACAAGCAGCGCACTGGTCGATTACCAGAGGTCCCGGGTTCTCGATTCCCGGCAGAACCAACAAATTTTCATACGCTCGCATCTCCTCTCCGGAGGTCTGGTAAACCACCGAGAGTATCCTTCGCCTCGAAAACCTCTTGAAAACAAATTGCCGTTCGGAATCGGCTTTAAACTGCAGGTCCCATGCCTGATGTCTAGTGGACATATCGGTTGCGACACTTTTTTTTAAAGTAGGTTTCGAAACGCACTGATATTTTGCAAATGCGAACAACGATTGGTGTACTATCTCTAGACTAAAGATAGTACACCATCGTGGTTCGCATATATATATTCTAAAAACCTATGAAAAAAAGTGTCACAACTGATATGTTCACGACTGTACAATCAGCGTGCGTACGAAGAGACACGCTACAAGCATATAAAAAGAGTAGTAGGCCAGAGCTTTGGGCTGTAGCGCCATCGGAATAAATGAACATATGCACACAGACACACATACACATCCATATATAGGAAGTCTACAAAGTCTGTACCCCTATATTTTTTTTGGAAACCGTTTAAACATGTGAAAGACCGCGAAGTACGTATTCTCATTTCGAAGGGCTAGTTCTCTTAAAAGAATAAATAATAAAATGATCAAACATTTCATGATTTTTTTATAATTTTGAATCTTTTTCGAATATAACGAATAGGGACTTTGTAAACATCCTTGTATATGTATTTTATAACTATGTATTTTTTTTAATTATAACATTTAAAGTGTATAACTATATTTGATATTTTTTATAGCATTTTTCTTTTTGTAGGAAAACACATCATTGCCAGTGACAAAAAAAAACGACAGTCCCAAAATTTCGAGACATCAAGAATAATTCAATATCAGTCGGAAAAGACACGATGCATTTTTCAGCAAGGACAAGATGTAACAGTGAATTTATTTAATCCTTGCTAAGAAACAAGAATGTAAATGATTCATTGTATTACACTGTGTTCCTGCTAGAAAACAAACTCTTGGAAAACATACAATATAAATAAAACTTAAGTCAATGTTAGGAACTCCATGATGAATCAAGTATTCAGAAAAATAGAAAATTTTTAAATTGTCAATAAGGACTAAACACTAACATCCGATCAGTGTGGAGAAACTGTAAATTTGCAACATCTTTAAATTGTATTACTTCAAGAAAAAAAAATATTTTGTGTTACATTTTTATAACTCCGCTACAAAATATATACAGAATAACAAAGAAATTATAAGGAAAAAAAAATCTTTATCCCTGTGTACGTACAATTTTCGGATCCCTGTCTTTCTTTGTATAATAATATTGTACTAGTTTATAGAAAATATACTGACAGGTGGTGTTTAATACTTTGAAGTTTTGTGATGATTCCCTGACTTCCCTATTCGTAGAACGAACAAATCTCGGGAAAACTTCTATTCTAATATAATTGTTGGAAAACAAGTCTGCTTTTAAGAATTTGATTTAGAAAGGAAATTTGTTTAATCTATCGCAATATTTATGATTGTAACCTCTTTTTTTTATTTAATTTTATTCAATTTTCTCTTTTACATTTAATTTTTGTTTATACTTGTAAGGTCTCATGTCCGCGATTGATTGCTTCTTAATGAGCGTTTTGCCCTTCATCAGAGGCACCAACTCATTTGGTACGGTGATACGGTGATGTCTTGTCTGATACGTTTCGCACAATGCGATCAACATGCGAGGTATCGCACACGCAGTTCCATTTAGTGTGTGCACGTAAGCTGTATTTCCATCCTTTGTCCTATACCTAATGTTGAGACGTCTCGACTGATAATCCGTGCAATTACTGCAACTGGACAATTCGCCGTACAACTTTCTTCCGGGCATCCAGCCTTCCATATCACATTTTCTAAAGCACAAAAAGATTGCAGCGTTTGTATAAGAAAATACAAGAGTTAGGGCTTCTAAGTATTCGGATATTCGAGATTGGCTTCAATTCGAATCTCAAGACCGGATTATTCCGATTATTCGGGTAATCCGGATATCCGAATTATTTGAATCCGGATCTAAATTCGAATAAAATACATCTGTAATGTATTTTACTTTATTATAATTTTTAAATAACATAAATTTGTTTGTTGAAAAATGCATTTTATTTTATTTATTATAGATCGGAAGAGCACACGTC